AAACTCCCCTAGGGCAGACATCAGATTTTCCTTATTAATTGTATATTAATCTCATTTATCTCTGTTGTTTCCCTTCCTAGCCAGCACGGGACTTAGTACTTCTTATGTACTTGAAAAAAATGTTTGTTGAATAAGTTCTCTGTTATGACATGATAAACTACACCAGCAGTAAATACATCATATTGATTGTTAGGAATAAAAATCATTAAAAGCAAAAAAGTGAATTCTAAAGTTTTCATATTTTAAACAGTTTAAAATACTTAAAGAAAAATCTTATGTCTCGATTATGAAAGTTTCAAGAAAGGGCATACAGACAATTCTAAAGAAGATTTCTTCTGCAATATATTCAATGCTAATATTAGGAAGAGTAGAGTATAAATAATCTAACAGGTGCTCACTAATATTTCCTTCTCAGTACCATAAGGCTTACACATTAGAAAACACTTATAAAAGTGTAAAGAATATATTGAGATATGGACAAAATCATCACAAAACCTACTAATTTTAATTTGTTCTTGTCATGTTGACTTTAAAAATGTGTCTTTATTAAAAACAATTGAAAAGAGAGCTTTCAAGTGTTAGCCTTAAAAATCTGAGCCGGAAGAGTAAGGAAGTTGAATTCTGCTTAAGATTTAATCACTATTATTATTAGCAGAAGAAAAATTCTCACAACTGGATCAATAAGTAATATCATGACAAATGAAGAAAATATTGAAGTTGTCAAGGATTTCATTTTACTGGATCTACAATCAATGCCCATGGACGCAGCAGTCAAGAAATCAAAGGACATATTGTATTGGGCAAGTCTCCTGCAAAGACCTCTTTAAAGTGTTGAAAATCAAAGATGTCACCTTAAGGACTAAGATGCTCCTGACCTGAGCCATGGTATTTTTAATCACTTCATATGCATGCAAAAGCTGGACAATGAATAAGGAAGACCAAAGAAGAATTGAAACATTTGAATTATGGTGTTGGCAAAGAATATTGAATACACCATGGACAGCCAGAAGAATGAACAAATCTGTCTTGGAAGAAGTACAGCCAGAATGCTCCTTGGAAGCGAGGAAAGTCAGACTTTGTCTTGCTTATTTTGGACATGTAATCAGGAGGGACCAGTCCCTGGAGAAGGACATCACGCTTAGTAAAGTAGCAGGTCAGTGAAAAAGAGGATGACTGTCAATGAGATGGATTGCCACAGTGGCTACAACAATGGGCTCAATCATTCCAACAATTGTGAGAATGGCACAGGACAGGGTAGTGGTTCCTTCTGCTTTGCATGGGGTCAACACGAGTCAGAACCGACTCGATGGCACCTAACAACAACAACAACATTGTTAGCAATGGTAAAAATTTGAATCAAATTCTTTGTGTCATGTTGTTGAGTTCTTATTTGCCTTAACTACTAGTATTTGCTGGAAAAATTATATATATATATATATATATATATATATTTGACTATCTACAACATCAAATAATTTTTTTAGGGAATATAGAAAAAAAGAATTTCTAATATCATATATTCTGGCTGAATATTAAAATAATTTACAATGCCAAAATATGTGAAATAGTTTATATTTTATTTCTTAATGATCTGAAAAAATAATGTAAAAAAATCAAAAACTGTGGCAGTATGTATTATTTCACTCATCAAATGAATACTGCCAATTCTACTGCTGCATAACAAATCAAGTGAGAAATAAGATATATATTTTGATTGAATTAGTTTTATTTCAATAGGTAATAGGCATAATTAAAGTGTACGTATTTTCTAAGTAGACTCGGTGGTTTAAAAAAAAAAAAGGAAAGACTTCAAATTACCCACAGTTCTCATGCGATCTGAGTTCAAGACTTCATGCTTATAAATGCTGAACAGCTGTTATGGATTGAATTAACCCATCAGCCGCCCTGCAGAAGGAAAGACCGTATTGATCTGCTCTCATAAAGATTATAGCCTAGGAAACTCTATAGGGGCAGTTTACTCTGTCATATAGGGTCTCTATGAGTCATAATCGACTAGACGGCACACAACAACAACATGGATTGAACTGTGCCCCCAAAAATACATGCTGTAAATCCTAATCCTAACTGTGGATCCACCACTCTGTTGGTTTGTCATACGGTGGTGGCTTGCATGTTGCTGTGATGCTAGAAGCAATACCACTGGTATTTCAAATACCAGCAGCATCACCCATGGTGGACAGGTTTCAGTGGAGCTCCCAGACTAAGACAGACTAGGAAGAAGGACCTGGTGACCAACTTCTAAAAATATTGGCCAGTGAAAACCTTATGAATAGCAGCAGAACGCTGTTTGATACAGCACCGAAGATGAGCTCCTCAAGTCACTTTGAGGGCTAAGGTGCGCCTGACCCAAGCCATGGTGTTTTCAGTCACCTCATATGTATGCTAAAGCTGGACAGTGAATAAGGAAGACTAAAGGAGAATTGATGCCTTGGAATTATGGTGTTGGCAAAGAATATTGAATATACCATAGATTGCCAGAAGAACAAACAAATACGTCTTGGAAAACGTACAGCCAGAATGCTCCTTCGAAGTGAGTATGTCAAGATTTTGTCTCACATACTTTGGACATGTTATCAGGAGGGACCAGTCCCTGGAGAAGACATCATGCTTGGTAAGGTAGAGGGTCAGTGAAAAAGAGGAAGGCCCTCAACGAAATGGATTGACACAGTGGTTGCAACAATGGGCTCAAACATGGCAATGACTGCGAGGATGGCGCAGGACGAGGCAGTGTTACCTTTTGTTGTACACAGGGTTGCTAAGAGTCAGAACCGATGGCATTTAACAACAACCATACCTGTGGATGTAATCACATTTAGGAACAGGGTTTTCTTTGCTTTGTTAATGAGGCCCTACAGTGTAAGATGTGTCTTAAATCAGTCACTTTTGAGATATAAAAGAGCAGATTAGGCACAGAAGCAAGCAAGTATGGATGGGGGAAAGACAGATTACCACACTGAGATCTCCAAGGAACCCTGAGAAGAACACAGGAAGCTGAGACAAGGATTTTCCCCCAGAGCAGCCAGAGAGTGCCTTCCACTAGAGCTGGTGTCCTGAATTCAGACTTCTAGCCTTCTAAACTATGAGAAAATAAATTTCTGTTTGTTAAGGCCACTCCCTTGTGGTATTTCTGTTATAGCAGCACTAAAAAACTAAGATAATAACACTACCTTCTCTTCCCATTTTAGGATGTCCATCTCCCATTTTTTGACTATAGTCTTTAAAATGTAGATTTCTCAATCCTGCAATAATCTTTTCTTGTGGAATACATGTTTCTGTTTTATTCTTTGCTCAGGATCCATGTGACGCTAACACATTTATATCTTTGATATGTATTCCAGAAGACCACATACAGATGGTTGTTTTAAATGTCAGAGAGATATTTGACATTATCTCTAGAAAACGGGAGAGTAGGTACTTTTAGTTTCCTATTTCAAATGTGAAAAAAATTTTACAAATTAAAATAATTATAATATGCATATATATGGGCACTATAATTCCAGAAAGGCAAATGAAGTTTAGATGAGGATGAGAAATACATAGATAAAAAATGTCTCTATATATGCATATTTATTATATATGTGTATATTAAAAAACAAAACTAATTCCATTGCTGTCCAGTTGACTCTGACTCATAGTGACCCTATAGGACGGAGTTGTACTGCCCCGTATGGTTCTAAGGCTGTAAATCTTTACCAAAGCAGACTGCCACATCTTTCTCCCTCGGACTAGCTGGTGAGTTCGAATGGCTAACCTTTTGGTTAGTGGTTAAGTGCTTAACCACTGCACCACCAGGGCTCATTACGTATATACACAATTCATATATACAGTATGTATGTATATATATTCCATAAGCCTAAGAAATGAGGTAAATAAGGTAAGTTAAATGAGGAATTTTAAAGTTATGACATCAGAAATTCTAGTTAGGATAATTAATGTAGAGATCTCAAAGACAGCAGTTACATAAAAAGAAAAAACGGAGACAAATTTATAAGCATGGACAAGTAATCTTTATGTGAACCAAGACAGGAAATGCAACCATTATTCAAATAAATTGAGGTATTTCCATATCTGTGTATTTCTACGTAAAGAAAAACTTGGAAAAAGAAAAACTGTCTTTATTCTGTATTTTTAGGTGGCATCAAGGCCCAGTCAAAAGACACGTTGGCTTGGGAATCGTGACGCAGGCAGAGCCTTTGGAATTTTTAACATAGAAAAAAAGGCTGAGTATGCTTCATCCAACCTGTTCTTTTTGAAAGCAGACAATAAAAAGTATTGATGTCTTTTTGCTTTAAAATCAACTAACACAAATAATTTAACAGAGGGAAAAACAAACAAGCTCTCGTGAAATGTCTGGAAAAGCAAAAGGAAACTGGTCACATTCAAAGGCCCTTCAAGGAAATTTTCCAGCTTAAAACGGTTTTGTTACAGAATGTGCATTGGCTTGAACCTGTTTTATTGTTATGGCTCCTAAATTCCCATCAAAGCTGATGATTAAAGTTCTACCCACTGACCAGGTCCCTACAATTATCTCATTGTGATTGAGCTCTACAGCGGGCGCCCTGCTATGGCCGGACATAAAGTCATTAGAGAACTTCGAGGGATGATGAAGAAGGTTATTTTAATTCCCTTTCAGCCCTTCTCAGGAGTGGCTCTTTAGTTCACAGAGCTGTGGGTACTTGCTTTCAAACTAACAAGCAATATATAAATGGAGGCTGCATTATCATGATTGCAGACAATCTAAAGCACTCGAGGGCCAAGGAGTCCAGGTCCTCAGTATGTGCTGTTTTGTATTTATCAGCTAAAAATACATAGACAGTTCAAACAATCAAAGGGGTAGAGGGGAAGGAGAAAAAAAGCAATGAACAGGCTGGGAGGGGGCAGGAAAAACAGAATAACAGAACACAGAATAAGGACAGAAATGCATAAAACAGAGGGGAGTACATTCTTTGCAATTTTGTTGGTATATAAATATTTTTTACCCATTTTCTTGTTGTTCCACTGCATAGTGTTCCAGCTCTGTGCCAGGAAGGGGCTGGACTGGGGGAGGAGGTAGCGGGACATTGGCCCAGGTGGATCCATTGTTTTTCTGTGGTTTAGAAGAGTTTTTATTTTTCTTCTTTTTTCCACCTTTCCCACCTGAAAATAACAACGGGTTTATTCAGAGATAGCAAATATCAGAGCAAACAGAGCACATCAGATGGGAAGATGTATTTCTGTTTTCAAAACACCAGAATCAGTATGCTACATTGTTAAAAGCTATAAACAATAAAATGATATAATCAGAAAAACATTTATAGAAATCACTCAAAATGATATTGTTTTTCTCCCAATACATTAACCACAGAGCTGAATAAACCAAAAACATGGCTGCTGTATCAAAAGCACATTCATTGATTTATTTATGTCAGCTGCTCCCATGTTTTCATTGTTGGATGCGATAATGGGCCGTAACAAATTCTTTCAAATGTCAGATTTTAGTGCGTTTATAATGCTCTTTTGCATAATCTCTCTCAGTGGAAAATGTGGTGTCTAAGGATACAGGCTAAACTTTTCCATTAGAATTTATTCAATTTAATTAATCCAGGAGAGTAACATTTCCTCTCAAATGTAACTGATAAAAATCAATCAACCACAATCTGGAGGATACTTGTAAATCTTTCACAGGAATATGTTTTATAGACTTTTTAAGTAATGCATGGCACAATTATTTTTGCATACAGTGAGAACAGTTCCCTGTTGTTTTAAGCATAACATTTCATAAAATTCTAAAAAGGGAAAAGTAGTCAATGATATATAGTAAGCAGTTTCTGAACTATTTTAATACAAGTGAATCTGTGCATAAAACATGAACAAAATATAAACCTGCAGCATATAAGCCATATCTAAGATCACATGGAACTTACTGATACATAAAATTAAAAATTATCTTTCGTAGTGCTGTACTTTTTACTCTTCTAAAATTAAGTAAACACAAGCCTGAATCTAAAAAAAATGGACCACTGTTGGATACAGAAATGAGTATTTCTTGAGCACAATGACAAAGGATGCTCCCAGGGAAGGTAAAGTAACTTCCATCACTCCCATCATGCTGTATAGCTATTGCTCCAAAAATTATACTGACCCCTTGGACTTCATCTTTCTGGAACTAATAGTTGTGAGCATCAAATACTGGTAGCAGGGCTATCTAGCAATATAGATATCACTAACCCTGGTGGCTCAGTGCTTAAGAGCTACACCTGTTAACCAAAAAGTCGGCAGTTTGAATTCACCAGCCACTCCTTGGAAATCCTATGGGGGAAGTTCTACTCTGTCCTATAAGGTTGCTATGAGTTGGAATTGACTTGATGGCAATGGGTATGGTATAGCCAGTAGAAGTCTACCTAGGGAGCGCTGGTGGTGCAATGGTTAAGAACCTGGCTGCTAACTGAAAGGTCAGCAGTTTGAGCCCACCAGCTCCTCCTTGGAAACCCTATGGGGCAGTTCTACTCTGTCCTATAGTGTCACTATGAGTCAGAATCAACTCGACAGCATATAAAGACAACAGAAATCTACCTGTCTTTTTTGCTACCAATTACTAATGTGTTTCATCCAAATCATAAAATTATCTAACTTAATAGTACCTTATTTGATTGCCAGAAACTGATGAAACTATTTAACTAGCCATGTATACTATTTGCAGTTATGTAATTGCATCTCCTTCCTCGGTAGTGGGTACATACATATACACATATGTATTTAAAAGAGCATCCCCGCAAACACAGTGCTTTCTCTGTTCTCTCATTTCTTATCTCTGGCAGAATAGGTGGTATTAAGAGAAAGGAGGGCAGGTATCATCTGCGTAGAGGTTAGCAGCTTGGTCTCTGGGTTGGAAGACCAGCTCCTCTTGATAGGTTACTCAATAGATATCACCTTGATATCCACATATATAAAACAAATATTATAAAGGTACTACTTCTTTGAATTATTTTGAGGATTAAAAGAGATAATACATGTGAACTGCTCAGCATGTAAGGAATGCTTAGTAAATGCCAGTCATTATCCCTCTTTCTCAGCTCCTGTTCCTCAGAGCAAACCCAGGTTCCTACTGTTCTCTTAAGGTTTCTCCACGCCCAACTCCTCCAGGCCCGATGAGAATCCCAGCAATAGCCTGACTCTGAGAATAAGAATAATAAACTTGCTTAAACACAAGTCTCCAATTTTTGTCTTTAAAGTTGTTGTTTTTGTTAGCTGCTGTTGAGTTGGACCCAACTCATGGTGAACCCATGCACAATGGCAGGAAAAGCTGCCCAGTCCTTTGCCATCCCTATAATCTGTTGGTGATCAGACCTTTGTGATCCACAGGGTTTTCATTGTCTGATAGATGAGCCATTATCTTTTGTTTCCTGATAACCCACCAAAATCACAAGCAAGGTTTTTTTGTTTTTGTTTTTGGTAGTTTCAAAACTATAATTCAGTGATTTCAGAGGAATGAGTTGGGCCACTTGCCCTGTGTAGATTTCCTCCAAGTTGTACATACTTTCTTCTTTATATGTTTATATATGTATAATGCTTTTCATTTTCCATAACACTTTTATAAATGGTATGTGATCACCACCGGAACTGAGTGACATAGGTAGGGAAGTTTTTATATCTTTATTTTATTGATGAGGAAATTGAGGTTTTTTTCTGGGTGTTGAATGAATCATCCACATTCACACAGTAAAGAAAATGAATTAGGACACAGAAACTTTACTGGGAGTTGCTATTTCTGGCTCTCTGAATCCCATTCTGTTGAAGTCCTTGCCCAAGCTCAAGAAAGCTATTACCTACTCTTTCTAGTCTTTTGGAGTTCCAGTGGTACAGTGGTGAAAGCACTCTGCTATTAACCAAAAGGTCAGCAATTTGAACCCACCAGTTGCTCCCTGGGAAAAAGATGTGACAGTCTGCTTCTGTAAAGATTTACAGCCTTGGAAACTCTATGGGGCAGTTCTACGACAGAGTAGACCCCTACAGGGTCGTTATGAGTTGGAATCAACTTGACGGCAGTGGGTTTGGTTTTGATGGGTGGCACAAATGGTTAAACACTGGACTACCAGCTGGAAAGGCTAGCAATTCAAACCCATCCAGATGTGCCTCAAAAGACAGGTCTGGCTATTTGCTTTTGAAATTTCACACCCTTGAAACTCTATGGAGCAGTTCTACTCAGCTCACATGGTGTTGTCATGATTCAGAATCTACTCCATGGCAACAAATAACACAGTGTTTCAAATAACAGACTTAATGTGTTTTGGAAACATTCCTGATTCATAGAGGGATTTCATGGGGGCTTTACATGCAACAGAGTCCTGGTGGCTCAGTGGTTATGAGCTTGGCGGCTAACCAAAAGGCCAGCAGTTTGAATCCACTAGCCGCTCCTTGGAAACCCTATAGGGCAGTTGTACTCTATTCTATAGGGCTGCTATGAGTCAAATCGACTCAACAGCAATGGGTTTGGGCTTTTTTTTAAGTTATATCCAGCATCTATTTTTCCCTGTTTGGGGGAAATTTCTGCTCTCCCACTTTGGGCAGTCTTGGCAGGATTATCCATCAACATACCATGCCTTCTTCTGACCATGAGGTAAGTGGTAGGCTCTTAGCATGGTGGTGGACATTTAACATAAGCTAAGGCAATTCTATTCTGTACCTAAAACTTGAATATTGAACCTAATTGAGTCACAGTTTGTTGCTGTTACTGGCAGCTAAAGAAATCTCAGTTATTTCAAGGTGAGAATTACCTGTATTATGTTTTAGGGAAGTATATTTTGATGACTTGCAAAAATATTTGACCCATCTCTCTTCAATTCAAAATGTAACTATTTGAATTTTACATTGGTTTAGTCTTAGCAAATGACTTCTATGTAAAGAAAACTATAGAAATAGCTCATTTTAAAAGTAAATTTACAGTCTATTCTTAAAAAACACTGGTGAGTAAAAATGATTTAGTTCTTGTTATGGATACATATATGCGTATTTGTATGTATATCTACATCTATCTATAAGTATACATATAGCTACATATATATTAACTATGATTGCAGATACTATATTAAAACACCTGAGTTTTCTTTTGTATTTTTTAAGGTTGATTTTTTAACAGAAGTGCTCAGAACTTAGGTGTTGAATAAATTATAGAAATGTTTCAAAGAGAGTGATTGCACTGAAAAATTTAGGAATTGTCCAATTTTTTTTTTTTTACCACTGTGATTATTTTAAGTTGAATTTCATTGCTGTTCATGAATTAAGAAAATCTTATAATATGATATTATTAGCTCTCCATAGGGCAGTTTAATCTTAAATTTGAGTCTTAGAAAAAATACCTACAATTATAAGAATAAAACAAAACTCTTTAATAGTGAATTCAATGCTCTAAATTAAAAAGGGAACACTCATTCACTCTTGCCTCCTAAAGAATGCTTCCTACCATCAATTCATTTTTTTTTTTTTTGTATTCACATGTAGATAAAGTAGTAAATACTATAGATAGATAGATACAGATAACTCTATCTAAAACTAACTCGGGGTCAAGTCGATTCCAACTCATCGCGATGTATTTTGTTTTATATATATATATCACTCAGGAGATTAATGGATTCAAAGAAACAGTAAGTACTATTTGTGAATCATATTCCACTTATAATTACTCAAAAAAACAACTTTTGAAACTAGGTTACAATCAATGTATACTACTTAAATGAAACAATCACAGAAAATCTTATGTAATCCATGGTTTAGACTATATGAGTTTCTTTTCATATTTTCCTTGAGACTTTGTATATCTTAAATGATATAAATAGGAAACAGCATAAATTGCTTTTTAAGTATTAAAAACAATGTGAGACTCATTATCAATAAATGACAGTATAAATGACATATAAGGTTATTCAAAAGGTACCTTATGTTATTAAGACAGTTTAAATTCGTAACAGATGTTTAAAATTTTCTAGACTTTATAAGGTATCTAATCTTACCAGTAGGTAAGAAGAGCAAATGGCTCATTTTGGAGGGAAGAAAGAACATTAACATTTTCAGACTGAGAGGGTACCATCTCCTGAGGAAAAGTAATTTACTAAATGTTATCTTAATGATCTAAAAGGGTTAACTCCTTATGCCCTTGATGCCTGGTAGCATATGACATACCATAATTGACTGTAATTTTTACTAAGAATCTGTAGTTAAAAAAAAAAAAAATTACCCCCCCAAGACAAACGAATACCAAGCATATCGTTAATCTGAACAGATTAAGTAAATAGGGTCATGGAATCAATTAGAAATGTGCAGATAAAGTCATCAGTCAAAGAATGTAAATGTTACAGCAGGCAGTTAGAGTTCATCTACTACAACCGCCTCATTTTGCAGGTGAGAATCCTTGGGCCTGGAAAATATTACTGATATGCAACATGATAGGTATATATTTTTGGCCAGTAATACGTGTTTTTCACCACATATTCTATATAATACTTACATTATAAATTGTTACTTTAGCTGATATATCTTGAATGTATATTACAATTTACAGCACAATTATCAACATCAAAGATTGTATGTGTTTTTTAAATTAAATTTTAATAATTTCCCATACTAACATTCTTATTTGGCACATTATCAGCACTTTACATTAAATAATAACATTCAATTGATAATAAATCCTATCACATAGTTTTTTGTGAAAAAATATCTAGAAATAGGAAGTAATGTCACTGCAAATCTAACATTATGAAAAATCTCCCAAATCATTTGCGTTTTAGTTAAATACATCTTCTGGTGTCCATGCCACGGAACTTACTTTCATATATGTGCTTCTTATAAAGTTCTCTTGACCCTTAAATAGGCTTCAAGGCAGATCAAACTCTTCTGCTCATCCGTGAACAGTATTTTGTATTCATTATATACTACTAACATTAATAGTAAGTAATAAAATAGCACTTTTTCCTAAAAGCATTCTTGTACAGTTAGTGCACAAGGGAGACTGATTTTTATCCTCCCCGCCCAAAGTAGTATTTCATTAGCATAAACTATTGTTGTCAGTTAAGATAAATGCCTGACAGTGAGCTGTGATTTAGTATTTCCTCATGATTGTTAGGAACACAGGTCATATGTTGATGACAAACAAATATTTCTCCTTACTGTAATGAGACCAACCTGAGAGACTGCCACTCCTTTCTGAGCTGTTGTGAGAGCTGGTGGTGCTGAAATCCTGTGACTGGTTGTGTGGCATTCTATTAGACAGTCCCTCAGCCAATCGGTAGTCAGGGATGTAAAGTAAGGCTAAGGGTTAAAGGGCAGAGGTCATAGTGGCATCATGTGATTAGTTCACAGCACAAGCCCATGCAGAACATGCAGTTAGCGACTCAGAAGCAGATGTCGTGGGAGAGTGGGGGAATGTTTTGTCTACCCTGACCTAATGGACGTAGAGATGGAGTGCTGACCACTAGAGTGAAAAGAGCTACAAGCATGAAACCGACTGGTGTGGGTGTGTGGTGGTGGTGGCGGTGGTGGAGGTGGTGGTGGTGGTGGTGATAGGGATTGTGCAAGTTACTGAATACATGCCGGTTTATTTTTTTTAGTTTAAGTAGTGAACCTGGTAATGAATCACTGTCAAACAACAAATACTAATTTCTATCTCATGCACAAATGATATGAAACAAACTCCTGAGGAGACAAGAATCTGACTTACCATTATTGCCTTTGTTCTGATCAGGTAGAGAATAACCAAATCCCATCAGATCTGATTTTTGCTGAATTGAGCTTTTCCACTGTGGATCAGGCAGATCGACAGCCAGTTCATGAATGCTATTGGAATGCAAGATCTGTGTTGTGGCATATGGGGTGGCCTGTGTTATTTGGCTGGAACTGTTGTAAGTGGTTTTGGTCGTGAAGTCAATGCTACTATAAATGGCTCCATCTGAGAGCATCGTTGCTGTTTTATCTCCTTGGCCTGGAACTGGTGGCAGCACATCTGTGGTGAACATAGGGAAATGAAACAATTTAATGATGCACAGGAAGCCCAAAACTATCAGCACTGAAGATGAAAAATAAATGTGTCATGTCACACATTTACATTTCACCTGAGACGGGCTTCATGAGCCAGTGAAGGGTAGATGATGTACAACCATCACCAAGCTATCAGCCTCGGTGACAGACAGGCCTACCACAAGCTCTTCACGTCTCACTGCTTAAAGCACCCCTTCACCGATTTTCTTCCACCATAAATAAGAAGTTTGAGATATTCCCCTACTGAACAATGCTTTCAGTTGTTCCCTCCATTTTGGAACCAATGAAACGGTTAGCACTTTACAGAAGCAATGAGCGAGACTACAAATCCTGGATGAAAACATGTCTTTTCACTTTACTCCCAAAGACATGGAATACAACCTCTGAACAGATGCAAAAAATTCCAAAATTATACTATCCTGACTATGAGGTACATTTTTCTGGTGTTTTAACTTGTCAATTATCTGATTTGATTGCATAGCTGTATATGGGAGTGGAGCCGATGGTTCCAATGATTTTTTTTTTCCTTTGATAACAAAGGGAAACTTTAATGAATAAGTCATTTTCACAATACAGCAGGATTTAGCTATAGAAAAAGCAATCTCAGTGATCAGGCAGTTTAATTTATGCTACCGACTCTTAGAAGTGGAGAATTATAGTTTCAAGTTGTAATACATAAAATTTAACTTCAGGAACAACACTGAATATCAATCAGTCCATTTATCATTTTGATATGCTGAATTATCTTTACATAGCGCTTTATAATTCAGAACTGCCACCTCTCTCTTGAGCTCTTATTTTTCCTTTTCAGAAGATTCTAAGTGAATCCAAAAAAAAAAAACACTAAATAACACTATTTCCATTCATTTAGTTTTAGAAGTGAATCTAATTATACCATGTTCCTTAATAATCTAGGTTTAGAAAATCTCATTTCATAGGACTTGAGATCATCAAATCCCTCAATCTTTTTCATGATAGGAAGTTTCAACTATAGTAGTTGTTGACAAATCAAATTATCACAGTACAAAAACCCAACTTATTATGATCAGCAAAAAACAAAGTAGGAACTTTGTAAATATATCCTAAGAATTTTAGATTTTATGGGTATAGCAGTAGCTGGAATAAGAATTCTTATACAAATATTAGTTTTGTTTTTGTATTTTAAAAAAGTTTTTAAAAGTCTTCTTTAACAACCATAACAAGAAATGCAGAATATATTTTGTACATTGTATATTTAAGCCTTTCTGAAGATTTTGAAGTCTGAATTACAAATTTGTTTCACAATTAAGTGGATTTGTACTTTATTGAAGTAACTTTTAAATGCTTACAAGTGAGATAGTTAAACATATTCAAATGCATAATGTTTCATTAAGATGTATAAGCATGTAAAATTGTTTCTGGTTTCAAGAATTTCATAGGTACCTTCTTGCTTTTAGCTATATACTAATCACAAAATTAGGCCTTGAAGAAGCATGTGTCATTCTTGAGTGTTGGTATCATTTTCATTCTCTAAGTGCTTCTATACTGATTTTTGGGCTACATATTGCCTTCATATATTACTTGATCACTCCCACATTTTCAAACAATAAATCGAATTATATCTCAACATTGAAATCTTGGGAGATTTTACAGGAATATTTGGAAGTCGACGTGTGTCCTCTAATATCAGATAGTTTGGAAATCCTGGATGACCTTCCTCTCAACAGCTTGCACGGCTGCATTTAGGCAGGACTTTCTATTTTCCATTTTCCCACAGCTCCCACGAACCCAACCATTTCAGGGGAATAAGCCCTTGTTAAAATTTGAGTTAGAGACCCCAGATGTATGTGAAACTCTTCCCTTCAGTTGGAAATACTCATGATTCAGTCTATAGTTTTTCACCACCTTGGTTACACTTGTACTCACGGCTTTGTTTCTTCTTGCCTAATACAATTACTTGTATGAATGACTGCCTCTTTCATTGTAACGTAAGCTTTTTGAGGACAGAACCACATGAGATGCATGTCTGTATTTCCATACTTCCTGAACCTATGTTTTGAGGAGAATAAGCACTTGCTGATTGAATGGTTGAATGAAAGCTTTACAGTTGGTATTGACCGTATGCAGATATTACAACAATTAGTAACTTTATTATTCAAAATACCATTTTCATTACATTCAAGCATGTATTTTTATTTCATTCTTAAAGGGAAAATGTCAGTATCCTTGATTCTTCTTCTAAATCAATATAGTTACATAGTCATTCACGTGAAACCCACTTTTAGGGTTATAGAGCAGTATAGATTAAAAACCAATAGAACTAAAAAAAAAGACAAAAAACCCAGCCTTTAGAATAAGATAGACCTGTATCATACACCTAGATTTACAAATTATTCATCTTAATAAAATTTATTCTTGACCTTTAAATTAGAAATGTGATTATCAATGTCATACATTCATAGTGCCAAGGCAATGAAATAAAATGTACAAAAAAACCCCCCCAAAACAAAAACTCTAACAGTATTTCTGGCACATGGTAAATACTTAAAATGCCTATTACAATGAAAAGTGATACATTAAACCTTGCAAAAAATTTTTTCTTGGTCTTTGTCATGGTTTGAATTATGTCCCCCCCAAAAATGTCTGTATTAATTTGGCTGGGCCATGATTCCCAGAATTGTGTTGTTGGCCTCCATTTTGTGATTGTAATTTTATGTTAAAGAGGATTAAGGTGGGATTGTAACACCACCCTTATCCAGGGCACATCCCTGATCCAATGTAAAGGGAGTTTCCCTAGGGTGTGGCCTGCACCACCTTTTACCTTACAAGCGATAAAAGGAAAGGAAAGCAAGTGGAGAATGGGGAACCTCATACCACCAAGAAAGCAGTGCCAGGAACAGAGTGCATCCTTTGGACCTGTGGTTCCTGTGCAGAGAAGCTCCTAGTCCAGGGGAAGATTGACAAGGACTTCTCACCAGAGCCAACAGAGAAGAGAAAGCCATCCCCCGGAGCTGCCACCTGAATTTGGACTTCCAGCCTACTAGACTGTGAGAGAATAAACTTTCTCTTTGTTAAAGCCATCCGCTCGTGGTATTTGTGTTAGAACAGCACTAGATGACTAACACAGTCTTGATATTCATCTGTGAAATGTTTCAGTCATAAAAGTGAGGTGGAAATGGAAGAAAAACCTTGAAAATCTACAAATGTAGCCTTTGGTTAATTTGGACAGAGACATTTAAATGTTACAGTAGTTTGCTAGAAACTGGGGGGAAAAAATCCTCATGCTTTGGCATTTATTTCTTGATATAAAGATAGAAAGGTGTGCTATTCCAATTCATATGCAAGTAAAAGCAGCAGCTATTTCTTGGTTGATAAAAGGCATGGAAATAGAATTCCTTTGACAAAATCAGCTAGGGTAGAGAAGGGGTGGATGAGTGTTCTAGTTTCCCAGTGGGAAGATGCTCAGGTACAGAACATAGCCATGGTGGAGAGATAGCCTACAATCGCAGGACTCACAGTTGGGTCACCTAGATGAGGCCCTGAGCAAGTAAGAAGCCTAAATGGAGGGTGGGGGTCGGGGGTGGGTTACAGAGGCTGAGGAGTCACACAACTTACTTCTCTTTCTCTAATTTATTCAGTTGAGGCCTACTGGGCACTGCCTATATGTGAAGCTCTATGCTAAGCCTGTTTATAGAGTCATCCATTTATCCTCATCACACAACTATAAGGTAGAAATGGTTATTTTTCTCTTTTTTCTTCAAGAAGAAGAGGAAACTCACTATTGAGGCTTATAGATGACTTAGGGTACTTTAGCCAAGCTCTGGGCCACCTGCATTAAACTCTACCTAAAACCCAAAACGAAACCTGTTGCTATCGAGTTGATTTCAACTCATAGCAACCCTAAAAGACAGAATAGAAGTGCTTTACATGGTTTACAAGGGGCGGCTGGTGCATTCAAACTGGCGACCTTTTGGTTAGCAGCCAAGCTCTTAACCACTGCACCACCAGGGCTCCTAATCCTACCTACAAATGTAGAAATCCTCCAGTGCATTCATCCAAACTTGCCCAGATTACAGCACTACTCTACTGATCAATCTCCCTAACTTTCCTCTCTATCTCCGTTCTCTACCCATCAGCAGGAGTACTTAAGTACTTAAAGCAGTACTTGGATCCTACCATTATCCTTAAAGTCCAATAATGGCTTTTGATTTCCCCTTTTTAAGTGATTTAGAAGCCTCTCTGTTACCTGTTCCTCTGTATTTCTCACTATCTCTGCTGCCTTGCATTTCACTCAAATCGTAAGAATATTCATTCATTTTCTCAAATAGGTCAGTCTCTCTTCTCTGCCACACACTTTTTTTTCACACTTTTGACTAATTCCTACTTGTCCTTCAGATATTCAATAACACTCCATTCATAGAGCTCTCTTATTCCCAACGGGCAGTCCTCCCATGTGGGGTAGTGGCTGGCAAGGCAGCTCAAGTCTACTCATTGTCTGCACAATCTTCTACCACTGGAAAACTCACTTGTACTCATCAAGCCAAACACTGGGACCAAAGGTTTCTCTACTCCCATCTTTCTCTAAACTCATCTCTCTCTCATTGACTGGATAAAAGTTGGTGATTTGGTGATTATTTATAATAGGTTCAATTCTGTCTCTTTATAAGGACGTATGGAGAGGGATCTGGCACCAAATTTTTAAAGTTTCAGCATATCACCTACTTAGCATCATGTTGTCTTTCATTTTGGGTATCGGTTGTCCATTGTGGAACTTCAGACTAGTTCTCTCTCAACATGTTGTTATACTTACTTAATTGTCTACTCCTTTATATGATATATTACATAAGGGTGAAGACCATGTCTTATTATATCAATGTTCTTATTGCCTGTCACAATGCCAGGTATACAGCAGGTATTCAAAAAATATATTGTGAATGAGACTTAGAGAAGTGAAACAACTGGTTCTAAACTGTAAGTCCTAGTTAGCAGTATAGTTTCTGATTTTAGTAATCTTATACTAATATTCCTAAAAATAAAACGTATTCTGAGAATTTACCTTCTTTGTTAGCAGTAAAACCTGTTAGCAGGTTTTATGGAAGATAATATAAACACAATATCTTTATATCAAAACATTTAGAAAATATACAGTACTTCATTAATTTTAACTATGAGAGAATTAACTCTCCATTCTTTTTTTTAAAAAACATCTGGGAAAGCCAAAAAATAAATAACAATTTTGAAAAACACAACTCACCTCCACGCCCAAAATTCCCGATCTCATTCGGGCCACTATTGCTGTTGTTTACTGGCAAGCTGGTGGCTGGCCATGAATCAGCAAGCCATGGATAACTGGGATCACCAGCATTTAGAAGTCCTGGACGGCTAAAACAGAAAGAAAAAGGAAATCAACCGAGGGAACTCTGAGAGATTTTGATACGCATCTCATGTACTAAGAAGGGTTAAGGAATCTGAGAAGATTTTAATTCACTTCACCTTAAAATATGGGAAATCTCAAGAATTAAGGTGCTTCAGCAGTTCATTAAGGCTAAACATAGATGAACCCTGTCACTGGAAGTAGAAGCATCCTTGCCTGGGACTTAGCCGACATCCAGATGAGTTCAGTTGGCTGCCCTGAAACTGGTGGGAATCACTAGCAGCATAGCAGGATCCTGAAACAAGGTTTGATGACAAATCGCCACCTCTAGGGAACAACTGCTCAGAGTGACTGTTCAGTATCAGCCATTTCTAGGACTTTGGGCTATTGCTTCCTCAATTCTTGAAGCCCCGATATGCATCTGTCCCCTGTAGTCTATAACCCCTCTTATGAGGCCTCATGCTTGATTTAGAGGCAAGGAACTTGAGGGAAATTAATGAACAGTATTTATACTATTCCATCAATAGAACATTTCCAAGTTGTCTAAATTGCAAAATATCAAGGGTATATTAAAGTTGTTTTTAAGATAATAAAAGGTCCACTATGATCTGATCAAGCAAGTAAAGTCTATGAGGAAAACTTCCTTCACATCATATTTAATAAAGAATTCCCATCTTTAATATAAAAGATGGGATTCTGATTCATTTCCAGATTATTAGCATACTTACAAAGAAATAGCAACATCTATAATCATTGTACTTTTTTTGATAGACCCCTTCTGGTACAATCCCTAAGAGAAACATGTGTTTCTATGGAAACTGCAATAAGAAGATCCAACCTCTTTCTTGCTACATCCACTAGCTCTCATTAGGCCTAATCTCTTTTTGGTAAAATATTGACTAAATGGGAGATTGGAAGTTATTACCAGAGCCTAATTACAATCTCCATATTGGCAAAGGGAAAACAGATGAGGATATATGGGTTTGTTATCGGCTATTATCAATTTCAATTGAGTATCCAAAGTTGTGGAATCCAGTCCTATCAATCTACAGCCTATTCATCATCCATGAATCATTTACTTTGTGATCGATTACTTGTAATTGTTCACTCACAGCAATTTAGGGAGAGCCAATAAGGAGTCTTAAACAACAGCAACTTCATTTGCTAATGTCTAATTAATGCAATAAACATCCTGCTAACAAATGAACACATTCCTTGTGATATTTACCACTAATTTCTTCAGGGGCATCTGGGAGATATGAAACATCTGGACTTGATTCCTCTAAAGTGTACAACAGATAGATGATTAAACCTTGTGGTAAGCCATTTAATTCCTCCTTGAATTCTCAAACTTATAGCGATCGTTTATTACAATGATAGCCTCTCACTGTAGTTTCCTAGTTCTGATTAAAAATGAAAATATAAGGAAAAAAAAAACCCTTAGCATACCTTCCATTGCTCATTAGTCCTCCATCTCCTCTTTGAAATGTAACTGTAAAAAAAAAAAAAATACATACACAAGTAGTCAATATTAATTACAATTAATAACAACTACATATTGGCCCTTATAGAGTTGAAGCCTCTGGGAATTTTAACAAAATACAATTAACATAATTGTACAGAGAGTAACAAGCAGTGGTTTGGCCCAGGGCAAAGCTGTCATTTACTCCAACTTAAATAAAACATTTCAAAATTTGAAAGTCAAATGCACAGTAAAGTTAAAGCGGTAATCTGTATTTATTTAGATGTCAAGAACTGTTAAGATTGGTGTATATAACATTTTGGAACATAGATGTAAGATTAACGTGGATTTATTAAATCATGACTTCTAACACAAGAGTGTTAATAGATAGATAATAGGGATTGAAACTGGGTAATTCAAACAGGCAATACCACCCTTTGAATTAAACAAGAGAAACAGGTATTGAATGCCTACATATTTCTCAGCACCAGAGATCCTTCCAGGGAAACTTATAAGCATTATGAGTTGAACAACTATAATTACAATAGATACGAAAATAATAATAATAGAAAATAATGTGCTGACTACTTTGTTTCATCATCTAACCTTCAGGAAAATGAAATTTTCAAGTAATTCATACTGAACATATTCCAGTTATATGTAATGATAACAAAACTCAAGGCTTTAATAAAACTAAGTAATTTAGTAACTACAACAAGCACCAGAAGGTGAATCCATTCCTTCCGGTGAACGGTTTGCATTCTACAAAGCCAATAACATAAAAGTGGTTTTCATGTATTGGTCAAAGAAAATAAATATTAGTTCAGGTCCCTTATCCAAATCCCTTATCCAAAGCCTATGGCCAAATATATTTGGGATTCAGAATGTTTCAGATGTAAGAAAAGTAATATGGTGCATACTACAATGATGATCTGAGACAGAAAACTGTATTCAAAGTTATTCAATATTTCTGTAGTGAAATACAAATATTTATTATTGCTGTTCTTGTTATTAGGTGCCCTTGAGTTAGTTCCGATTCCTAGTGACCCTACGTACAACAGAATGAAACACTACTGCTCCTGCACCATCCTCACAGTTGTTGATATGATTGAGCCCATCGTTGGCAGCCACTGTGTTAATCCATTTTGTTGAGGGTCTTCCTCTTTTTCACTGACCCTCTACTTTATCAAGCATGATATCCTTCTCCAGGGACTGGTTCCTCCTGAAAAATATGTCTAAAGTACGTGAGACAAAGTCTCTCCATCCTCCCTTCTAAGGGGTATTCTGGCTGTACTTCTAATACAAATTTGTTTGTTCTTCAAGCAGTCCATGGTATGATCAATATTCTTTGCCAAGGAATCAATTTTTCTTCAGTGGTCTTCCTTATTCATTGTCCAGCTTTGGCATGCATATGAGATGATTGAAAATATCGTGGCTTGGATCAGACGCACCTTATTCCTTAAAGTAACATCTTTGCTTTTTAACACTTTAAAGACTTCTTTTGCATCAGATGTGCGCATTGTAATACGCTGTTTGATTTCTTGACTGGTGCTTCCATGGGCACTGATTGTGGATCCAAGTAAAATGAAATCCTTGACTACTTTATCTTTTCTCTCTTTATCGTGATTTTGCTTATAGTTCCAGTCGTAAGGATTTTTTTTTTTTCTGTTGAGGCATAATCCATACTGAAAGCTGCAGTCTTTGAATTTCATCAGTAAGTACTTCAAGTCCTCCTTACTTTCAGCAAGGAAGGTTGTGTCACATGTATATTGCAGGTTGTTAATAAGACTTCCTCCAATCCTGATGCCATGTTCTTCTTCATATAGTCCAGCTTCTTGGATTATTTCCTCAGAATATAGATTGAATAAGTGTGGTGGAAAAATACAATCCTGAAGCACACCTTTTCTAATTTTAAACCACTCAGTATCTTCTTGTACTGTTTGAATGACTGCTCTTTGTCTATGTACAGGTGCCTCATGAGCACAATTAAGTTTTCTGGAATTCCCATTCTTTACAATGTTATCCATAATTCGCTATGATCCACAAAGTCGAATGTCTTTGTATAGTCAATAAAGCACGGGTAAACATCTTTCTCGTATTCTCTGTTTTCAGCCAAGATCCATCTGACATCAGCAATGATATCCAATGGTCCATATGTTCTTCCGAATCTGGCTTGAATTGCCGGAAGTTCCCTGTTGTACTGCTGCAACCGTTTTTAAGTTACCTTCAGTAAAATTTTATTTGCGTGTAGTATTAATGATATTGTTTGATAAATTCTGCACTCCGTTGGGTCACTTTTCTTTGGAATGGGCACAAATATGGATCTCTTCCAGTCATTTGGTCAGGTAGCTGTCTTCAGAATTTCTTGGCATAGACAAGTGAGTGCTTCTAGCACTGAATCCGTTTGTTGAAACATCTCAATTGGTATTCTGTCAATTATTGGAGCCTTGTTTTTCACCAATGCTTTCACAGCAGCTTGGACTTCTTCCTTTAATACCATTGGTTCTTGATCATATGCTATCTCCTGAAATGGGTGAATGTTGACCAATTCTTTTTGGTACAGTGACTCTGTGTATTACTTTCATGTTCTTTTGATGCTTCCTGTGTTGTTCAATTTTTTGCCCATAGAATCCTTCAGTATTGCAACTTGAGCCTTAAATTTTTTTCTTCAGTTCTTTCAGTTTGAGAAATTCCAAGTATGTTCTTCCTTTCTGGTTTTCTAACTCCAGGTCTTTGCACATTTCATTGTAATACTTAGTCTTCTTGAGTTGCTCTTTGGAATCTTCTGTTTAGGTCTTTTATTTCATTATTTTTTCCGTTCATTTTAGCTATTCTATGTTCAAGAGCAACTTTCAGCGTCTCTTCTGATGTTCATTTTTGTCTTTTCTTTCTTTCCGGTCTTTTTAATGACCTTTTGCTTTTTTCATGTATGATGTTCTTGATGTCATTCCAAAACTCTTCTGGTCTTCGGTCATTTGTGTTCAGTAGGTCAAATCTATTCTTGAGATGGTCTCTAAATTCAAGTGGGTGTATACTCAAGGTCATACTTTAGTTCTCGTGGACTTCTTTTAATTTTCTTCAGCTTCACCTTGAACCTGCATATGAGCAATTGATGGTCTGCTCCTCAGTAGGCCCCTGGCCTTGTTCTGACTGATAATATTGAGGTTCTTCATCATCTCTTTCCACAGATAGAGTCAGTATGATCCCTGTCTATTTTATCTGGCAAGATCTACATGTATAGTGGCTTGTTATTTTGTTGAAAACAGTATTTGCAATGAATAAGTCATTGGTCTTGCAAAATTTTATCATGCAATTTCCAGCACTGTTTCTATCAGCAAGGCCATATTTTTCAGCTCCTGATCCTTCTTCTTTGTTTCCAACTTTAACATTCCAATCACCAGTAATTATCAATGCATTCTGATTGTATGTTTGATCAATTTCAGACCGCAGAAGTTGATAAAAATCCTCGATTTATCTATCTTTGGCATTAATGGCTGGTGTGTAAATTTATTAATGAGCTTCTTTGTAGGCATATGGATATTATTTTTCACTGACAGAATAAATATTTACGATTGGCAGGATAAATAATGCTTATAATTAGCTTCACATTTGTTTGGGTCAATTTTTTAACTAAATTACTAGAAAATTATGGGAAAAATTGGTGTTTAGAAGTTTATGGATTGCAAATTTGCAGATGAAGAGTTGTAAACCTATAGTTTTAACCAAAGTTCATATGGATCAGCAAAACCAATCACTGAGGATGAAGGGAAAACTACCATTTTACAGATATGAACCCAACACAACCTAACTTTGGCAATGGTTATGTTTACTATGATTACTTTGCCAGTGGGTAAAACTAAACATAAATGAAATTTTAATGAATTGATTCATGTTTTTAAATAAACTGAGGACATACTGGCAATTAAAGTATACACACAGTGAATACTTTTTAATGTGATAATCTCTCCTTAATTCATCTGCTTCACAAATTTAGGCTCTCAAGTATGATCAGTCTTTAAATTTTATAAATTTCCAAATGCAGTTCCCCAGTCCCTTCCCTAAGGTTTTCCAATGACATTATCTCTCTTCATATCATAATTGGGCAAATTGATCACAATTCCACGGATCTATCAGGACTTCATGAGGCAGAGAAATATATCAGGGCTTTCAGGAACATTTTGTTGATGTCACAAATATACTGTCTTATCAATTCCTCAGGTATATCTGAAATGCATTGTGAAACACTCCTGATCTAACCTCTGCACAGGATTCACGATAGACAGTTCCTCAGAGAAGATGACAGTCCTGATCACTACTCTGCTTCCAGACAGGCTTATTTAAGTACTGGGAATCATTGCATCCAACCACATTGTACCACTTTAATAACTGCTTTAAACTAAAAAGAATTAACCTGAAATAATTAATGAAGAAAATTGAGCCTTGGAGGTATTAAATAAGGCCTGATTAAGGAAAAAAAACGAAACACAAAATGTGAAAATACTATAGCTGATTAACTTTCCATCTGATGTGACTTTCTAGTAACGTGGCTTTTTAATGGATTATCAGGTGATTGTTTTACTCTGGTAAAAGAGAGTTAAGATACGCTGTGAATATCATTGTGAATATGCAGATAAACAGACTCTGATGGGTTATACCTCAAAATGTGTTGCTCAGGAGACATGAGAGGGGAAAACTAAATAGCTAATTTATATGCACTTTTTTCCCATCTAAACTTCCTGATACTGCCAGAGCAAAAAATGATGTTAGAAATATGGAGGAAAAACTAAAGCAGATTCACAAAAATTGAGTTGTACTTAACTTTTTACATATGAACCAATGGCAAATTCTTCATAAAACACGAATTTTAAAAATATTTTGTCACAAGGCTCAAAACCTTATCAATATACCTTTGATTAAGGTTAATATACAGATGTGTTCATGATCCCAATGATCTGATCCATATTTACTGACTGAGAATTAAAATGTTGTGAACAAAGGCATTTTAAATTTCAAAGCCTTTTTAGGACATA